GGGAATTATTAATCATGGCTGGGATTTCATAAAGCTCCGCTTAAGCTGTGCACAGTGCATCGTTTATTACCTGCTTCTCCGTGGGGGCTTTGCACAGCTCGGAAATACACCGGGTACGGTCTTCTGCTTTGAGCTTGCTTTCGCGTTGCCGAGTAGGTCTCGGCGGTGATCTTGCTGCGAACGTTGCCATGTCTGCGGTATGCCGGCAATCTTTCCGAAAATTGAAAGTCATCGTGCGAAGAGAGTAAGCAACGCGCCGCGCCGACCAACCCCCGTACGATTAAGCACATCCACGAAATATCGGGGTGGGAATCTGACTTACGGTTTAGACAGACAGCGAGTTGCCCGGGGTGAACTTTGAGGGCTTATTTCCGGAGACGTCGAGCTCGTCGTTTCCCCGCCGAGCTTTCGTGTCTTTGCCCGTGAGTCTCTCGACGCGTCACCTGCGATCGTGATATCACGTGAATTCACCGTGCGATCCCTTTAACGGCCGGATATCGCGACGATCCCGTCGAGCATACAGAAATAACGTTTAACGGCTGCGTTTTCCCGAATACGGTTCACCAGGCGTTCGTGCTAAAAGAATGTCACAGAGAACGTCACGGTGAATACGGTATATGTCATCCTACGGTTCTTTGTCGTTTTGCCATTCTTCGTTTTCTTTCCGATTCAATCTTCTTTCTTCTTTTCTCACTCCGCGTTTTTTTTTTACTCGGGTTTCAACCGTCAAGTCTCCGTTCGCGTTTCGCAGAAGTTTTTCAACAATAGAAATCTACGCGAACCAACACGTGCGCTATGCGGCCGCGTGTACATGACACGCAAGGGGTGCGATCAAGAAGGGTAGTTTTCCCTGTAAACTAAGTAGCACCGCCTGAATCGTACGGAGGGTCAGCTTGAGGCGCACTAAGAAGGGATTATCCGAACCGGTATTCGGTAATTGCTACTAGCAATTTACCGGGGTAAATCCCCATTAACCGCGCCGACGAACCGAGCGGCGGACAGTCATGTTCCTCCGTGCTGCGTGAGACACGTCTCCGTGCGTGTAAGATGGATTTGTCAGCTGCGCGAGATTGACGCAAGCACTATTTCGGCTCAACCTTGAGGAGAATTTTAATGGTATTGTTAATGATACGATGTATCAAATATTTTTAGTTTGTTGACAAAAATGCATGTACGACAAAATGAGGTTTTTGGCATATCTTCTTTAAACACAAAAATGAAAGTTGTTATAAGAATTCGTATGCAACAGATTTGAAAGGATAGAACTTGAAAAATAGAGAAATTTATTCAATTACATGAATCGCTCTGATTATCTAACGTGCGTCTATAATTTCTATTATTAGAATATGGAAGTATTTAAAACTTAACTTTTTATATAACTTGATGTAATACTATAGGTAAATGTCACAGTCGTTCTCAATCAAAATGTACATTCTGATCCTTTCCTTCGATCTACTCGAGTGGCAGTTGGTTTATTGAACCAGGATGGAGAGTCCTCCCCGAAACACTTTTGCACAGGAGACTAATACGATAGGTAACGTGACGTTAAGTCGAAATCGCGCGGGCCGTATCTCCTACGATGCTCGGGTCGTAACTGCTCCTCAGAAACGTGAAGGTATCAGAGTTAGGTAGGCCGTCAGATTACGATCCATTCCCCAATTCCCATTTGTCCCTCGGTGAGAAGCGTAGCTGCGCGGAGAAGATCGCGGGACGGCGGGATAGCGGCTGGAGCTCTGAGTCTCTGCATCTGGGGAAATGTGCCGAGATTACGGATCCAATTCCAATAAAGTTTAGCACGTGAGCCGACTGACAGCGGGCCAATTATTATTTAACCGGCGCACCTTGCTCTACCCTTGCGCCCGAAGTTGGAGAGGACACTTTGGGTATTCGCGAACATCTTCTGGGACGTGCTGCGAAAGAAAGTGCTTTCAACAGCCTCGATTTATATCTTTCGGCTGTAAGATTTCGAGATGAAAATCTTCACCGTCCCCGTTGAGACAGAATACCGCGGCGAGTTCTGGGGAGGACCGACTGGTCTTGATGCAATTAAAACGTAATTTTATTTGATGCTGAAACTTTTCGCGGGCCTTTGGCACGAAGTTCCCGGATAAAATTGATATACTCTTCGTTAAAGTGAACATAATTAATCCTCGACGGGTAATTATTTCGAAAGTTCGTTAAGGTTAGCTCATACGTCGGCGGAATGTTCTTTTGATCATCTCTCTGGTAATAGCAGCAAAGAGACGGGTGGGTTTTTAATCTTCTGCTTTATAATAGCAGCGAGCCTTTAATTTAATCGATTTTCTCGTTATAGCATTTTATTACATATAATAATTTCTATGTTCAATAATCTACGTAGGAAAAAAAAAAATAAACTGTGAAAATGTGATTATTACCTTTTTAACTGGTAAAATTTACTGTTAATTTTTAACCACAAATAAAATTGTGAAAAAATTGATGACGAGCGAGAAGACTTTATCCAGATATTTAAAGTGATTCCTATATATCCATAATATTGGAGCCATCTGTGGACAGATCTGGTCGAATTTTTTTTACCGAGTACGGATTTTTTACGATATTAATTGTCTATCATTTTAGCCTTTCTCGTGCGCGTTAATTAGCTCGTGATTGTACTCAGCAATTAATATTGCATCCTTGAATGCATACAAAAGCGAGATACTCTCTAATACGTGATGACATAAAAAGGCTTAGTTAAAAACGCACTCACAGATGCGGTTTCACGAATGACATTAAACATTTACAGCTTCCTGCTTCTGAAATTGTGGGTCTACCTAATCTCTTGAAACAGAATCTCTCTGAGACGGAAAATCAAGCAAGTAGAATCATCTGATCCCTCGCTCTGCGATTTCTTCTTCTGCATTCTCTCTCTCTCTCTCTCTCTCTCTCTCTCTCTTTCTCTCTCTCTCTCTCTCTCTCTCTCTTTCTCCTTCTTTTCTTCCTCCTTCTCTATCTTCTTTCCTCCTTCTCTCTCTCTCTGCCTACACCTTTGTAATCGCGAGAAGTGCATCGTCTATTTGTAATGAACCTCTTGGGGTCGTAGCATTAGGTTAGTCGAGGGTAAACGCAAATATCTTGCGTTTTTCTTTCAGATGTCATGTCACGTTGACGTTAGTCGGTGCACTCCTGCATGAGAAAACTAAGATCGATTTCTCAAGGTGTCATATTTCTCGAGAGTTTCACGTAATAAACTGATGTGGCATAATATTTCTCATAGTGCATTACGAACGCATACATTAGAAACGGAAAGCGCATTGCGGGAAATGTTATGGTGCATCGCCCGTAATCTGGCATTTTTTTGTATCATAGTTTGACGACTACGTTAATGCTACGTGCAGTACGATGGAATCGTTTCCGCATTCAAAATCGTGGTGTAGAAACGTTATTCTCCTGGCACGCTAATTCGACGGGCTCACCGGTTTGGCGGTTTACTATTTAATGTTCCGTTGTCGCGACGGCAAACGCGATAGTACCGCGTGCATTAAAATTGCGTCGCTCGAAATATACTTAACTGCGAGCGTGATGCGAATTTTCGCGAGCAGTTATTTATTAAGAGTTATAATTTATTAATAGTCGAGACTGCTCGTTGATGGCTTTATAGCTCTTTGTATTATGACATCCAAAGCGAGAGTTCTCATCAATTTTTTCTTATAGCGTAGATATTTTTTTCTCCATGCACAAAAAATTTTTATTTATACATCGCGAAAAGAACTCGTCGTAGTAAGATTATTTCAGGTGTACTAATTTCTTTTTTAACTTTTTCAAACGACGATCGATTTCTTGCTCGGAAGATGAAGACGCATATTGAGGGAAGCGTAAACAACGAGCGAGCGAGAACGAGAAAGACCTGCATAACACACGCGACATACGGCGACGTGTATCGATTGGGCCGCGGAGTTAGCTCCCTGTTGCACGAAGACCAAATGACGGCATATTATTCCCCACTTACCCCCCGTTACGTCGGTAAAGAATACGGGAACACGACGTAAAATCGCTCGCGTGCGGCATGAATCATCATTCATTTCATGTTACCAGCGACGTCGGGGTACGTGTCGGTGCCGTGCACCTGCACAAGTGCACGCGGGTATGCGTGAGTCCACGCGAACGCCGCAACGACGACGGGCTGGTGGACGCCGGGCTTTTATCTCTCTAGAATCGGTTTACATGACCGGCATCTGATAAATCGAGCCCAGGCACAGTGGGATACCCCCTTATTTACTCCCTTTGCTCCCCCTCGTCGACTTGCGTTTGTATACCTTCCTTACATTTGTTAAGACATTGAAGGGAGGAATATGTGAGACGACGTTGCGTAGATTATAATTATTATTGTGGCCATCTTCAAGATTCCTGGATCCATCGGAATTTTATGACTTTTTTCTCCCATGATAGTCATGTTACATTATTAAATTACACTGCTCTTGCATAATCACTCACACGTAATTAATCGGAGTACAATAACAGTTGTAATTTCAATATATCGGATAGTTATTATATAATAATATAGATTAAATATATTATTAAATAAATTTAATATAATATAACTACATCTGTAGAAAAAGCTACAAGACGCGAATTATCCTGTTTCCAGTTAAAGAATTTTTGGAAAATCACGATCGTCGCGCGTGGCGTTCACAAACAGCTGTTCCCACGCCCTTAAATTCAGTTCCAATGGGTTACACGCATTGTCGTTAAACGATGACAGAAGAGATCATACTTATGTACGAGTAGGGTGAAAACGGCGAATCATGATATTTAAGTGGCGATCGTTACCCCCTGGCGCTTAAACCTCGTTCGCCAAGCGGGTCCGGCCGTGCCGGAGCACATCCTCGATAGATCCCTGTCGGGAAACTCCCACGCTGAGGACGCGCACTTTTTACAGAGCCGCTTTTCTCGGAGGCACTCGGAGGGTTCCGGTAGGACGTATTACGATGACAAAGTGGCGTGTCGTGCTGGTGGATGTAGCTGGGTCGGCGGGGGGGGAGGGGGTGCGCGAAAGAGTTCGTCGATTATACGTGGCGAGGATATCAAACAAATTGAGTGCGGATCCACTCGCTCGCTCGTTTATAATGACATCAACGCGCTTGCCTGGGCGCGCGTGGACGCGCTGTTATCAACGCGTGTATGCGTACGTGGTTGCGTGCATGCGTGCATGCGGTCGACGCATTTCATGCGGTTTCGCGACGAGTATAAACGCGTGCGAGCGAACGTCGACGCGTCGTGCAAAAACCGTTGTCATTAATGACATAACGGCACAATAGGACAAAGCCGTCGATGCAAACCCTCTCTCCCTCGCTCGTTTGTCGTATACACTCTCTACTTTTCTGTCAATCCCATGTTTTTTCACGGATATCTAAACGTATCGCCACTACGATGCCGCGTATTGTTCTCTTTCTGCCTTTCTATCGCGCCGTTATTCGATATAAAAAAAGAGCGCGCGCGCACACTGTTCGTAATCCGTTTCCGCGTACGGTGAATCGTAATGTGCTCAGATATGAATCCTGTTGACACAACTGCAAACAGCGACGGCAAACTGCTGTATTGCGGGAGGATTGTAGCAGGACTGTTTCACATATCTCCGGGATTAATTAAACTGAACAAATTCGCGCTAAACGACGCGTCGTTCACGGTATTTTGTTTAATTTATCAGGGCGTGAGATTTCATTTGTATCTCGATGGAGTGACCAGTATTTAGAGTATTGTTTTAATCATGTATTTAAACTTTCGCGCGAGGATATACCAATTAACTGTTATAAAATCTCATAGCGATGAATCGAAATCAGTGAAAAAGAGGATGATCGGATAGCGTTGCGCGCGGTGCATCGTGCAACGACAATATTATTTCGCGAATCGAGTAAGGTCGGCATAAATCTCGTTGCTTTAAATAAATGTCCGTATCTATTCATATTTATTTTGATCGCCGCATCGCTGCCAGTTAGATTAGAATAGCGTTTCACGCTTCTCCATTTCGCCAAGCGTTGCGAAACGATGGGTTTCGACTAGCGGCTCGGCGAAACGTATTTCGCCGGGTAGGCAGGCGCCGAAAGACCTCCTCGGCGGCGTCGCGACGACACCGCTCGCGAGCGCGAAGCCGATGATTAATGACCGTGCCTCTGATATATCGCTGTCATTTTTCACGCATAGATGGGATCCGTTGATATTCCCTTTGCCGCGCGCGCGACGCACTCACACCGAGTGGCGCGTCGTGCATTTTCCAGAGACGACAGGCGCAGCAAAAACTCGACAACTGCATTATTATACGATGAGGAGGGGACGCGAGAGCGAGAGAGACGCACAGAGAGGGGAATGGAAATCTGCCGTTACAGATACGCGTTTTGGTGAGCCGCAAAAAATTCGTAAGCGCGTACTCGCTGACGTATCAATGTTATCGGCTCCGCGGCTCGTAACTTTTCATCGCGCCTCTCTCAACGGCCGAGGATTTACGTTCGACGCTCCGCTGGAGCTGAATCCGTTCTTGCGTCCGCCGAGGGGAAATACGTAAATACCCCGATTCTAACGACGAGATATCTACCCGGATAAGGGTGATGGTGCTCGCGAGTTTCGAGGGACTCGTCGCACTCGCGCGCGCGACATGCAAAGAGTACGTGACGTATTCGCGACGTTACTATCTCGCGCACGTCGCGATGGCTTTCGTCGCGTGCGCATTCAATTCGGCGAGCTTACGAGAACGATATGTTCTCGTACGAAATTCACGTCGACGGAAATATATGTCCGAACTGTATGTGTTCGTCCGATCTCCGAATACCCGAAACACGCTACAGTTAATCTACTACCGATATCGGAGTTGAGTTAAGTTGAATAGAGTTTATTAGCGTGCCTGGGAATACAGTGTTTTGAAAATAGATGAAACGCACATGAAGGAGAGAGAACAAATATAATGCATTGAAGAAAATATTTATTTATACAAAGGAGAGGAAGCTAAAATGCAGTAATACATCGTCGGTTAATTCTCTGTTTGTAAATGCTTTAAAATAGTGTGCGGATTGCAGAAGTAAATTTTTTTATGCACGTTTGCTCGAGTAATCACGCGGAGCCTGTAGAAAATGGGAAATTTTGGCTTGAATTTCCGCGAACGCGGCGTCGTGGTCGGGGTAAGGGAGAGATGCAGAGTTGCGGCAGCGATGCGAGTGGCAAGCTCAAAAACAAGTTCGCAACTTTGGCGAATCGGAGGAAGGGGCGACTCTTGTCTCGGCACGGTACGTGACTCGGCTTGTGGCGAATTATTAAACTGCCTGGTAATTGAATCTGACCGGCTTTTGACCACGTAGATGCGCGCTGCAGGTCGTGGTTACTTGCATGTTGCAGCTCCAGTTTCCGTATGCGGAAGAATTAGCGCGGAAATTATGGACGGAATTGCGCGAGGAGAATTCTATTTGCCGCTACAGTATCGTGTCGATTATTTTCGCACGAAGAGTAACGCCGAGTGTCCATGCGTAAATTCGCAATCATGATATGTTGCTTGGAAATGTAATGAACGTTATACAATGCCTAATTTGATGTTTAAATATGTGTCCATTGCATATTATCTTAATTTATCTTTCAAAATTCTCTAAGAACATGATAATTTTTTATTGATCAATAGGTACACAATTATCTTGAATTGCTGTTTGTTGAATCAGAATTGTGTTGTAAATATAGAATTCGAATATCGTTTATCGCATACGATTAACATTTTATCGTTAGATTATACTATAAACTACTGACATTCTTCGCGGCACTTCGAGCGTACGAAAACGGAAATAATGTCGGTAAAATTTGGCTCGCCACAGAGTGGTCGTGCGGGAGAAGATCGAAGGTTAAGGGGGTTAAAGTTAAAGCAGTGTCGTCGAAGCTAGGCTCGGGTATATTAGGTTTATCGTTTCCACGAGAGGAGAACCGTTGAGGCGGCACAACGGATGAGAGGGCCGGAACCGTAGTGGAAGGTGACGCTTTTCCATCGCCGCGAGATTGAATAATTCAAAAGCGCCTTGCCCAGCGATTTTCAAACGGCGAGTGCGCCCACTTCCGCTTGCGGACGCAATCCCTGCTCTAATTCTGCGTCTCCGAATAAATGCATACTATTAACGTGAAGAGAGACGACGGGACGTGGAGATACGCTTTCATTCTGAGAGAGCTGTGTGTCCCTCTCTCAATCTTACTGTCGCCGGAAAAGGGATTTCTCTCACTGATCTCGATATTCACCGACCGTCCTACATTTACAGCGACGAATCAGAATTGAGAATATATTTCGAGCTTCCTACGTGATCATGCGCATAATCTTGTTGATATTTTTTTCGCAAAACTTTGCTGACCAGTTAAACATTTCGTCGGTTATTAGTGTCGCGAGGAAGACCGTCCGAGTTTGTGCATCACGCGCCATGTCAATTCGCCGCAACGAAGAGAAATCGCCGGTGAAGGTCCATGGGTCGTCGCGGAACTTCCACTTTGATTTTCCTTGCGCGCCTCTGTCATTTATTAAGATCGACGCTTTAAAAGCGGTCCGGGACTGGGGCTCTCGGTCGAGCCGAGCGTTGCCATAAACCCGTCATCGAGGTTGTCACTTCCGGCCCGGGAGTGGCGTTAAAAGGACGCAGAGGGGTGCTCGCGCGGCACGTCGCAAAGTCGGTCGACGTCTCAAAGTGATTTCAATGTGTCGTTAAAAAAAGGAAAGAGAGGGAGAGAGAGGGGGAAGGAGAAGATGGCAAAGCGAAGAGGTGAACGCGGAAGGAAATATTCGAATGACGACAACGACGACGTTTTGCGCGCCGCGGTAATGGCGCCGTTCTATCACGATTATCGAGCCGCGATTCTGCATGCGACAAGGCGTCGTTACTCCTCCCTACCTTCTCTTTCTCTCTCTCTCTCATCCCCTTCCTCCTTTCTCACCTTCGCTTCCTAAGCTACCCTTCTGCCATCCTTCCGACGACAATCACCGCCTTCGGCCTTGCGCTACCCTTCTTCCCGCCGGTGCAGACCTCGTCGAGTCCCTTCATTCCGCTTTGCCACTTGACACTAGACGCTCTTCTGTCTAGTGGGGCATGGCTGCATAGGCAAAGCTCAAAAACCTCCGACTCGCCTGTCGGCATAAATGCATGTATATGTACATATTCGCGACTGCATACGCAAGAACCAATGTGCATCGTCTGACAACGTGTCACTGCAGACGACGCTCCAGACGTCTCTACGTCACCTTGCGCATTTCTTAGCGTTATTTCTTTCCTTCGTAGCTCGCTCGGATCATATTTTTAAACGGTGTTTCCTTTACTGAATGAATAAAAATATCGCGTGTTTATACTTATTCTGTCGAATCGATTAAATGTAAAATCGGAACCAGTTTTAGGAGGAATTGAGAGATATTTTATGATATTTTTTCTAGTTTTTGTTTTTAAGGCAAAATCTCGTAGAGAGCCACAAAACTCTATATAGAGACTCCGGCACTCGAATATCATATTTCACAAGTTCGCGCAGCGTGGCTGCTGTCTCGTACATGAAAGGGTGTTGATTGGATCGTGACGCACCTGCAATGGCCTCGTTCGTCAGCGGCGTTATATTTCGAATTTCGCGCTCGCGACTCCCAAAGAGTTCGAGAGAAGGCAAAATGAGGAGCGGGTGGCGGAAAATTACTTGCTCTGTCATTCGCGCGTTGCATCGGGCGAGAATTGTGCAATTAGCCGACGCGACGGCTCGCAATTATCATAATTGCGCGATGTAATTGTATTACTCGTAATTTACTACGTACAGCGCGTCTAATCTCGCTGGATGGTGGAGGGAAAATGTTTCGGATATGAAAACGGGAGGTGGAAGCGGCGACGAAGACAAATCTCTCTCGTAAACTTCACATTGCACGCGCATCTTCAAGAAGAAGCAACGCAAGCAAAGCGTTCCGTGATGAGCACCGTGATGCACAATACGATTGCCCTCATTCGCACGAAATAAACGCGAAAGAAAATCTTGCAAGAACAGTACGTGCAGGATGCATGTATGATAG